GCTAAATTGCCCCATAGTGCCCAGGGATGTGCAGGTTAGGGTGGATTAGCCATGGGAAATGCAGGGTCAGTGGGATAGGGTGGGGGGTGGGGGTGGGATGCTGTTCAGAGGGTCAGTGTGGACTCAATGGGCCAAATGGCCTGCTTCCACACTGTACAGATTCTGTGATTCCACATGCCACAGTTATACTTTTTTTACTGTATAAGCCACTTCAATAATAATGCAACAGATTATTCCTGCTCCTTACAGAGAATTGCAATCGCTCCTGGGAGCATGGCACACAAAGAGTAGGGAATCGTATTCAGATCGGCAGCAAGGTGTGTGTGTGTTCAGAGGGGGCTGGGTTGGGGGAGACTGGGAACAAAGCCGTATCTACGGGCTTTCAGCAGTGGGGTGTGGGAGGTCGGTCAGTCACAGCACTCGCACACTCTCTCTCACCTGCGACGTGAAGCGATGTTCCTTTGGTTAGCTGCTCCTTGAGCAGGATGGATGCTCCGTGCCTGATCAGGACGTCCACACAGTCCGCGTGCCCCCGCTGTGCCGCTATGTAAAGTGGGGTACGCCCAGTTCGATCCCTCACGTCCAGGTTCACCAGGGTTCCCACCAGCACCTTGAGCGCTTCAGACTGACCGTTGTAGGCCTAGGGAGAGGAACACAACCGTTTCACAGTGAGGTGGGGGGGAAATAAGGGCAGCCTCTCAATCTTCACCTCCCTACTCTGTGTACAAGACACAGGCCTGCCTCCCTACAATATCTGAGCAAAATTAGGCCATTTGGTCAATCCAGTCTGTTATGCCATTCAACTCCATTCTCTAGCCTTCTCCCTCGATCTGCCTTACTAATCAAGAACCTATCTGCCTTAAAGGCACTCAACAACAGATTCCCCACCCTCTGGCTGAAGAAATTCCTCATCTCAGGCTTTAAAGGCGTGCCCCTTCACTCGGAGGCTGTGCCCCCAGATCCCTAGCCTCTCCTACTGGGGGAAACATCTCCACGACCACTCTATCCAGGACTCTCAGTATTCTGTAAGTTTCAATCAGATTACCCTTGCTCATTCCCCCAAAACTCTATCGAGTACAGACCCCGAGTCCTCAAAACCCTCCTCGTAAGACAAGCCCTTCATCCCCGGGATCCCCCATTCTCACCCGCAGATACAGGATTCATACACAGAACATAGGACAGTACAGCACAGTACAGGCCCTTTGGCCCACGATGCTGTGCCGAACTTTAACCCTAAACCTAAGGTCTATCTAACCTCCACCCCTACCTTATACTATCATCCATATGCCTATCTAATAGCCGCTTAAATGCCCCTATTCAGTCCGCAAATCCCTGTTTTCCTCCCCTCACCTCTCCCATCCACCACGGACGCAATACACAGGGTACCCCAGCCACTCTATTGATACAATACACAGGTTCCCCCCACACCCCCTCCACCTGCAAGTACAAGGGGCAGGTTTATAAACCTCTACCACAACCACAGCAGGCAGTCACTCCCTCCCCTCTGTCACCCATTCAGCCCCCTTCTTCAGACGGCTGCCTAGGAATAGCAGGAGGTCATTCAGACCCCAGCCCGTGTGTTGCATCGCACAACCACTGCCCTAATCGAACTGCATCCACCAGCCTGTGTGTCAAACACTGGGGAACCCTAAACCTCCATGGTGCACAGGCTTCACATTCATCAAGGCCACAGGCTACCCCACCCCCCCACACGGTCTCCTTCCAAACGGTTTCAGGGAGAGAGAGATTTGCACATTTCGACGAGCCTGGATGGTTTCTCATCATTCTCCCACTCCCGCTGCGCGAGGACAGCTTATACTTCATTAACTGCTCTCTCCACCTTCGACAGCTCCATGCACATATACCCCCAGCTCCCTCTAAAACCACACCTGCCATCACTGGGGGTTATCCCAAAGCATAGCACATGTAGCGGAGAGTCATACAGCACAGAATTTGACGCTTCAGTAGTGTGCAGGCCCACTATTTAAGTAGTCACGCTTTAGTCTCCAAGCTTTGTCGACTTCCACATCCCTCCCCCCGTTACTTGATATTAAAGCTGGTGACAAAATCCTTCACCCTCGAGCAGGCTACATTCCAATTCCTCCCCACCTCTCAGAGGTTTTTATTTATAAGCTACGAGCCTCACCATCCCGTCAGAACGGTCCCAAGCTCAGCCCTCGGGTGAGCAGCAGTACTGGGTACTGCTCGTGTACTTACAGCTAAGTGCAAGGGACTGGCGGTGACCACACTCTCTGTTTCGTTCAGGCTGTCGAAGGTGGAGTCGA